GACCCCCGGGGCCTGTGATGTGTACCTGTCCTTCTCTTTACAGAGTGTGGGCCTCTCTCTTCATTTGTTTTTTCCCTTCTTTCCTTTTTCCCCTCTCCTCCCTTCTGTCTTGTCTCCTCCTGTCCTAAGGCCTCCTCCTTTCCCTTTCCCTCCTTATTTCTTCCCTTTTGTCTTTTCTCTTTCTTTCCTTCCTGTTGCCCTTCTTCCATCTCTTCATTAAAATGAGCCACTATTATAGATGTTGTTAGATTTTGCTTGATTTTGGTGCAACCTGAGGCCATCTGGTTGAGGGGCTGAGGGGTGGGCATTTAACTTTGGGATTCTAGAAGGTCAGGCATTGATCTTTCTTTAGTCCAGAACTGTCTGTTTGTTTTTGCGGTTTGTGAACATGTTCAGTGAATTCGCAATGTTGGAGGACAGATAAGAACTGTAGGGAGATGATTGTGGCTGTCAAGAAATATTAGTATGTCTTATGGGTGACAGGCCCAGGTCAGGAAGGTCAGGACACTGAGCTCATCCTTTAGGAAGAAGTCTAGGGTGAGCCTCCCACAGAGAGGTTATAGGAAAATAAGGGAATTTTCTGCACCTGCCCCCACCCCTTTTCTGATTACCTTCCTATCTTTTGTTTAATCCTGTTCTCAGGATTAAATTTATTTAAAATGTGGGGAAGAAGATGATGTATAACTTGCATTTTGTCTGCAGTCCCAGTGCTGTTTGAATTGCTGTACAGTTGCTCCCTTATTTTCAAGGATCACAGAAAACTTCTTTATATCTGCCTCCTGAGAAGTGTTTTCTTTCAAAGGCTTAAGAGTGAACTGCGGGGCTTGTTGGCTTTACCTGTAACAGGAGACCATTATTCTTTTGGTTTTCACTAGTTGAACAGAGCCATTCATTCAAAACAGCCCCCTTTCCTCCCAGGGGCAGGTTGGTGCTTTCCATCCTTGCGTCTTGGGCGGCAGAAGGCCATGTGAACGTGTGCCTCAAGGGTGCTGAGGGACAGTGGAGACTAATGCCTTTAGGGGTCTCCCTTCCATCCCCTATTTGGCTTATTTGTAGACAAGATTTCATTAAATAATATTCCTCACCAGAGGTAGGGAGATGATCTGTTAGTCTACAGCATTTAGCCAGGGAACCCCAAATTTTGCCCTTTGATGGCTCTTCCAGCTGTGCTGCACAGGAGGAACTGGTGTGGCAGCTACATGTGTCATCTCTTATACAGTCCTCTTTGGCTGGTAAGTGCTCAGCACTCACTTACAGTGTGGCCAGGGAGGCAGCCTGACATTCGAAGACAGTGTCATCACACCTTCAGTTATTTGCACACACCACAGCACTGAGGAATAAGAAGAGGGAGATGAGAGAGAGCTTGCTTATTTAGGGAATGCTCCGAGGAGTCAGAACAGGCTCTAGAAGGACTGCTGTGGTGGTGGTGGTGGTGGTGGTTGTGTGTGTGTGTGTGTGTGTGTGTGTGTGTGTGTGCGCGCGCGGGGGGGGGCGGGGGCATAGTCGGGTAGAGGTGGGAAAGGGAGGACTTCAGAAAGAGGGTTGCATAGCACAAGGGTAGTGACTGGGTGAGTGGCCAAAAAAAACCAGCTTGAACAGGGAAGACAGGAAAGACACACTGCCAGTCTGAGAATGTAAGGTGAGGGGTTATATTTGATCACTCAGATGCTGGAAGACTTGGGAATGACCTGATCTTACATTTAGGTCAATTTTAAACCTAAGAAATAACTAGTTATACATTTTATGATAGTCGTACACTTGTTTCTGTGGCCCTGGGAACTTGAGGATTTTCATCTTGAAATTCAGACTGTTGAAGTTAACTCTTTTCTGTTTTATCTTCCCCACCAGATTGCCACAGCAGTGAAGTTTCTACAGAATTCCCGGGTTCGCCAGAGTCCACTTGCGACCAGGAGAGCATTCCTTAAGAAGAAAGGTACAGGTTTCCCCAGCCAGGCAGAGTGACCTGCAGAAAGGGGCTGAGGATGGGGCGGGTGAGGCTGTAATGCGGAAGTTGGTGTTATGGAGATGAAGGCTCTCAGCCTGCCCGGGGAAGTCCTCTTGTCTAAGCCTGGAGAGTGGGAGTGAGACGACCCCCACTTGGGGAATGCAGATTTCTTCCCTAGCAGTGGAGCAAAGAGGTTACATGATTTGGTTAATTAAGCACCAGCTATAAGGCCAAGACCAGCTTGGCAGAGGGAGCCTTCATAGCAGAATTGGGCTGTTGAGTAAGACTGGAAGACTTCTGCTTTCTGGTCCCGTCTCATGTCAGCAACCCAGGCTGCAGAAACCTGGCTCTAGGAGGCCAGCTGCTTCAGTAAGGAATGAGGAAGAAAAAAGTGAAGGACAAGGGGAACAAGTTGACTGAACAAGGTCAGGTTAAGGTCAAGCTCTGGGTCAGTCTGATTTGCGAATTGAAGTGGTAAATTACTGGTTTATGGTACTTCTGTAAGCAGGAATAAAATGGATACTGACATATTCAATATTGTCTGAAACAGAATCTATTCTGGTTCTGTTGGAATTTAGGATATTTTTTTTTTTTTGTGAAATGAAAACAACCAACTAACCAACCAAAAAAGAAGCTGGAATTTTCATTCTTGGAATATTTAATTTTATGGAAATCTTGGAAGTTGTTTAAAGGCCTTTATGTAACATAAGAGGAGAAAAGTAAGCCTCCTCCCCTCCTAAAAAGACCTGTTTTTTTTTTTTTTCTTTAGAAGCTAGAGTGTTGGGGGGGCTGGGATTGTGACTCAGAGGTAGAGTACTTGCCTAGCATGCGTGAGGCACTGAGTTTGATCCTCAGCACCACATAAAAATAAAATAAAGATATTGTGTTTAAATTTAACTAAAAAATGAATTAAAAAAAAAAAAGCTAGAGTGTTGGCCTCGAAATTCTGGTGTTTCAGTCACTTTTGCCTGGAATAGATGATTGAATGTTTTGGTGACATTTCCTAGGGCTGCTCCATGATGTTCCACCAAAGTGGTGCTGTAAGATCCTGCTGATCCCTTCTCCTGCTCACAGCCCAGGGCCTGCTCATAAGGTTTGGGCACAGTAAGCCCAAATGTCTCATTCACAGGCAGCTGCTTAGCAGCAGCCCCAAAGCTGGGTCCCTGTGATGGAGTTGGTGAGGGCGTTGTGTGCTCTCTGGCTGTGTCTCACTTACCCCGTCATTAGGAGATTATTAAAATTTGGAGTGTGCTGGCTGGCCTCTCCACTCGGCAAGCATCATGCCATAAAAGAGTTTTTCCTTGAAATATGTGTACCTATGGGGAGTAATTAATCATAAAAGCTTAGGGATTTCAGCTCTCTCATCAAAGCATTGAAGCAGGGGAAAGCTGAGCCTAAAAGCTGAGCTGATTACCCGGGGTAACCTGAGACAAAATCTATGGTTGCCCAGAGATCCTTAGCCCAGTATATTGTGCAATATTATAACTGTCTGATCTTCTCTTCCACCGACAATGACCAGTTAGTCCTCATTTTCTCTCAAACGCAGCTGGGTTAGAATTTCATTTGCAGAAGGTATTTAGAGCAATTTAGAGACAAATGTCTCTGGTGTTTGCTCGGCACTTCCCCACCGCAGGCTTTGCTGAGCAGTTTTAGTATCAGGAGCTCCATCTAATCTGTTTAATTTTAATAAATCCCTGACTGGGAGAGGGAAAGAAAAAGAGAGAGAGAGAGAAACTCTGGACCAAATAATACTTCTTTTGAGTCACTTGGCTCGTAATTACTGTAGAGAGGAAACTGTTTGGTGCAATTATTATTTGTTGCTCTTACCCAACTGATTAATCAATCAGTTTACCCAAGGGGAGTGGCTACCCTGTGCCATGCCCTGCTCTCCCCCACAGGGATGTACTAAGAACAGAACAGATAGAATCCCTGCCCTTGCCAAGCTTCAGTCCTGAGACAGGCAGTGAACAAATGGAACAGCGAAGTCTGTGGGATATCAAATGGAAGTGCCAAGGGACAGAGCAGGGAGTGAGGGGATGAGGGACACCAGGGCTGGTGTGGGATAGTCACACACAGGGCTTGTTGGTCTCTCTAAGAGGGTAGTGTGTGAGCAGGGACCTGAAGGAGACGAATATTGTTGATGGAGTGGACCCAAATTTGGCTTGGAGTTTTTAGAATTAGGGGAGCCGTAAGACGCTACCCTACCCTTCTTTCTCTAAAGAGAACCATGGGAGTTTTTCCCTGTACTTAGACCCAGAATCACTGAAGCTAATCACCCATCTCCATTATCCTCTAAAATGCTGCTTCAGTTGGTAATTATCCATTTCCGAGTTGAATCCCAAAAGGGTAAGTTCTGGCAGGACCCTTTCTGGGCAGAGAATCCCAAGGTTTGATTGGCGTCTGGGGAAGAAAAGCCCCTCTGTGGATTTAAACTTCACTTTTTAAATTTCCGCTATTCCTTGGGTCAGGCTTACATGACCAGCACAGCTTGGCACTATCTCTGAAGGGGACAAGGGAAGAGCAGCTACCCTGTCCCCAACTAACAGTAGTTGTAGAAGGGCAGAGAGTTGGCTCACTGGCCGTCAGGGGCAGGAGAGAGCAAGGTTCTGGCACCGTCACTCTGGGGTCTCCCTGCAGGATCATTGCTGTGGTGTGTTTGGGGCGCTGGCTTTGGGAGTGCTCTCAGCTACTGTGGGCTTGGCGTTTCCTAGCAAATGTCACTTCAGGGAATTGCAGTGGAGCACTGACTTGAATTATAATCTTGACTTTCTTTTTTTTAATAAACATCTCTGTCCTGAAAAGGCAAATCCAATTTTGTTTTTCTTTTAATATTATTTAATATTTAATATAGAAATTGAGGTCCCTGTAGTGCATGTCAGTTAGTGGAAAATGAGGGTTACTTTAGGCGCATCAGCTGAGTTTGTTTTATTGTGAAACCACAGCGCAGCCTGGAGTGGCCGAATGCTGCCTCTGTTACTGACAGGTTAAGTGTTGTGCTTTCTGATTGGGGGTGTGGGGGTGGCGGGGAGGGAGTGGGCTAGCAATGGAAAAGCATTGGTTTGCAAAGGTCTGTCTTATTTTGTTTTGAGATCTCTTTGGGATGCCTTAAAGTCTGAATATGGAGTCATTAATGAGAAACATGGAGTTATTAGAATCATTTATCATTTTCTTTCAAGTTTGTGCTGCCATTTTGTATAATTTACAGCATTTCTTCCTTTTATCAGGAAGTTTTTGGATGAAAGGGAAAAGCAGCTGTTTACCTTCAGAGTGTTAGAATAAATGTTTTTGTTTTCCTTCCAGCCACCCGATTCTGCAGATCATCAGCTGCCGAGTCAGCCCCACATGACGACTGGGGTGTGTGTGGGGTTTAAGCCCTCACAGAACTGGTCTATATATAGAAACAGTTCTTGTTGGCATGCTGTTTTATCTGGGGCTTTAAGCAAGCTGCAGTCTAGGGGGCCAGAGGACCCTAAAATTAGCAACAGGATCAGTCCAGGAAGTTAGAAGCTTGGAGATGCTTATCAGTAGGCTTGTATTGATTTGACACCCTGTCCAACCCCAAAATGTTTGGAGGCAGTCTGTTTCCAGTCTTGTTGAGCAGGCTGAGTACCAGGTGGGTTAAGGTGATATGTAGGTGAGCCAAAGGAAGACGGGGTGAGGAGGGGATGGCGTTATCTGTTAACTAGCATGCCATTCACAGAGCAAGCTTCTAGTGCAGGGTGAGCATCGCACACATTCCTGCAGAAGTCTGCCCAGTGGGGCCGGGGGTGATGTTGGCTGACACTTTTACTTGTTGTGTCCTTCTGAAGTTAAGGGCTTTTTTTCTCTTTCATCTAATAAATAGTCCTTGAGTCCAGGATGAGGGTAGGGAAGGAAAACTAAACAAATAAAACATACCACCATACTTTCTCATACTAAAAGGTGAAACTAGATCTTAATCTTTTTTTTGTTCCTGGAAGCGGAACCCAGTAGCAAAACTGCCTCCTTGCTGGAAGGAACCTGATGGTCTCAACCTTGGTAGTAGATAGAGGTGAAGGGCTTACTCTCCATGGAGTATTTTAAGGGGGAGTGAATTCTTACACAGATTTCAATTTAACTCTCTTTTATTACTTTTCTTTCTTTCTTTCTTTTTTTTTTTTTTATCATTTACGTCCATTTCATGAGGTAGTTTGCATGTCCTTGAATGGAATCTCGTTACCATGAAAGCTTTTTTAGCATTGATTTCATAACAGTCTTAATTTAATAGCTCCGTCATTACTGAGAAGCTCTGGGAGTGGGGCCCTGGCTTTCCAGGTCACTGACCTTTTAATTACAAACCTTGTTCTGATGGCCAGGTTATCGACTGGACAGCTCCCAGCTTGTGCCCCAAGGATGAAAACGAAAATAACTGTGTTTCCTCCCCCATCTCCAGGAGAAAGAAAAAAAAAAAGTAACCTCTTGTGTTTCTAAAATTAATTTTCTCCTTCAGCTTTACTTTATAATTAATTCTTTAAGTGTCTTGGTGAAGCCAGAAATCTTTTTACAATGCTTTTGTTCCAGGAGCTGGGGTCCAGCAGATAGCTTGGGGGTCGGGGCAGACGGCTTGCCAGCACCACCCTACCACCCTTTTGTTGACTGCGGCTGTTGCCTCTTCCCCTGGAACTCCTGCAGCTGAGCTGGAAGGAGTAGTGTTGGCACTGTGAGGGGCCGTCTGGCCCTTTTGAGCCTTTGTTAAGGGGACCTGGATTATGGCATCAAGATTTCAGTGCACTCCTATATTTGCTGGAGTGATTAAACTGGGTATATATCATGGTCATTTTGAAAGTTGTGCCTGTTCTGAGAATAGGTAGGAGTTGAATGGCTTTTCCTATTGCCCTTAATTCTTTGTTAGTCTTAGATGACTGAAAGAATCAAGTATCCTTACCTGAGGAGTTCTAGTTGATCATGAACTTGAACCAAACAGGACACTTGTTTAAGTTTTCTGTCATTAACTGTGAAGAGGAAGAGAAAACAGAGAGGACAGTGGGCAAGAAGTGGGCTGGAAAACAGGTTACCCTAGCTGTAAAGCCTTCCTCAGGAGTGGGAGCCACAGAGAGAGACAAAATTGGTGTGTCTTTGGAAGCTGGAGGAAGAAAGCAAAGTGAAAAGAGGCCACCCCTAGCAATAGGCTCTGAGTTTAGCTTGCATTAGGGTGGCATCTACCACCTCCTGCTCTTCCTGCCATGGGCCCTGTCCTGATGAGGGGGTTGCATCCTGCAGGTGAGTCAGGAGCCTGGGCCGGAGCAGACAAGGCGGTGTGGCAGCCGCATGCTTGTTCCTGAGGATGATTGAGCATCTTCATCCATCTGTTGTGCATGGACCATCTTCCTTCCCTGCCAGTCTTGCATCTGCATATCCGTCACCTGCTGTTCTGGACCAGCCCATTCATCACACTGACTGGTTCCCCCCCATCAATTCTCCTGCTCTCCTTGTTATCCAAACTTGTCTGAACTCCACAGATTTTTCTCAGCATCCAGGATGAGACCTACAGCAGCTAGACCAGCTGAATGCTGGCAGTAGCCATGTCGTGGCTTCCCCATTCAGAGGGAACTGCTGGCACTTGCTGCCCCAGGAGGCCAAGCCCCGCAATTTCCTGCACTTCACCCTGCACTTGGGGAAGTGGCAGAGGAGCATGGGAGGGGTGAGCTCTTTTGGATTTTCTCAGTTACTTTGATATTTTCCGTAGAATGATTCTTTTCTTAATCTTGGGTACCTGAAACAATACTGCAAAGAATAATAAAGTGGTGAAAGTAACATTGTTGTGTATCGTAGTGTTATGTCTTTGTTTTGTTTTTTAACTTTTTCAAAAGGTAAGGTACATACTTTTAAAAATGCAGACAATCAAGCTAGGCACAGTGGTGCACATCTATAATCCCAGCAGCTCGGCAGGCTGAGGCAGGAGGTTCGCAAGTTCAAAGCCAGCCTCAGCAAAAACGAGGTGCTAAGCAACTCAGTGAGACCCTGTCTCTTAATAAAATACAAAATAGAGCTGGGGGTATGGCTCAGTGGTTGAGTACCTGGGTTCACTTCCTGGTACTCACCTCTCTCCACAGAAAAAGTAAATTAATTAAAAAACAAAAGGGGCTAGAGATCCTGTCTCAAAATAAAAAGGGTTAGGACTGGGTATGGTGGTGCATGTCTATAATCCCAGCAGCTTCGGAGGCTGAGACAGGAGGATCTCGGGTTCACAGCCAGCCTCAGCAAAGGCAAGGTGCTAAACAACTCAGTGAGACCCTGTCTCTAAATAAAATACAAAATAGGGCTGGGGATGTGGCTCAGTCAGGGTCAAGTGCCCCCGAGTTTAATTCCTGGTACTACTCCCCACCCCTGCCAAAATGGAAACAATCAAGAAGGATGAACAGTGAAAAATAACTTGTCTTTCCTTCTTGTTTCTATTGTTTCTACCGGCAGCCCCATTTTCTTTTCCAGAGAATGCTGCTGTTAACAGTTTGTTAGGTATCATTTGAGATAGTCTAGCCACATAAAATCATATTAACATTTATTATTCCCCCATAGAAACACTTTTTAAACAGAGTGGTGGCGTATTTTACTCTTTATCTTTGCACTTGGCATTTTATCTTGGTTGTCATTCATTGATACATACAGATTTATTTTAATCTTTTCATTGGCTGCATAGTATTCCATGGTTTTCCTGCATCATACTTTCTTTAACCAGTCCCAAGTTTGTGTACATTTAGATTGATTCCTCTCTTTTGCTGTTTCAAAGAATAGTCTGATAGATATTCTTGGATATATATTGTTGAACATGTGTCAGTGTTGAACATGGTGCCATGCTAAAAGGAGTATTTTTGTGTTTGGTGAGCAGGCTACGGGATATTTTTCTTACTTAGAATTTCATGGGATTATGTTTCTTAGAGAAGGAAATAAAGCTATCTTTTAATATAAACATAACTATATATAGAAGGAAATTACTAATAGAAAAGAGAGCCTATAATGGTGGTGCATGCCTGTAATCCCTGCGACTCAGAAGGCTGAGGCAGGAGAATTGCAGGTATTGAGGCCAGCTTTAGCAATTTAGTGAGGTCCTAAAAAACTTAGTGAAGACCCTGTCTCAAAATTAAAAAGGGTTAGGGATATAGCTCAGTGGCAAAATATCCCCAGATTCAATCCCCAGCACCCTTCCTCCCACCAGAGAAAGGGAGAAAAAAAAGTGCAACAAATTGCTATTAATGCTTAGCACATTTAGGTTTTGAGGGGATGGGCATTCTGATTATTGATTATGTGAGACATGCTTTCTGTCTTTTTGTGTGTGTGTGTGTGTGTGGTGGGGTGGGTACCTGGGATTGAACTCAGGGGCACTCGGCCACTGATCCACATCCCAGCCTTATTTTTTGTATTTTATTTAGAGACGTCTCACTGAGTTGCTTAGTGCCTCGCTTTTGCTGAGGCTGGCTTTGAACTCTGATCCTCTGCCTCAGCTTCCAGAGATGCAGGAATTACAGGCATCCACCACCATGCCTGGCAAGACATGCTTTCTTTTTAAAAGAATTTCCTTCATATCTCATCTTTTGAATGGATATAGGTTTATAAATTTAATTAAAATGATTTTTTTTGAGAAAGTCTCTCTGTGTTACCCAGACTCTCATTGAGCTCCTTTCCTCATGCGATCCTCCTGCCTCAGTCTCCCCCAGTAGGTGGGAATATAGGCACACACCACTGCACTCAGCTCATAAATCTAACTTTTGATTCAAAGTAAACATTCAAACAAATGGAAAGCCGATCTGATTTGTATTCAAATGAAGTATGTACTCAGTTCTCTTTGGTTTTGACTTGGTGCTTTGTAGATCCTATGTAGATTGGTGGGGTAGTCAGCCCTATCTGGTGCAGAGTATTATTACATTAGATACATTATGAAAGAAAAACGGAGACCTATCTTTTCTAGTACCAAAAGCTCATTAGGAGGAAGTAGGAATGGATACGGAGTCCTTATCAGTGGTATCCATGTTATCCACGAAAAAGAGCAGTAGTTCAGTAGTAGTCAACAAAGCGGGGCCTGAGGGTGTAGCTCAGTGGTATTTTGTCTAGCATTCGTGAGGTCCTGAGTTTGAGCCCTAGCGTGTTTGTGTGCAGGCTCTCTCTCTCTCTCTCTCTCTCTCTCTCTCTCTCTCTCTCTCACACACACACACACACACACACACACACACACACACGCTCACACAAAAAGTCAGCAAAGTAGATTAGGGGGAAGCTGGAGTATAATGCTACTCACTAGACCGAGCTCCTCAAGGGCAGAGGTCTTAACATTCTTACTAGCATCTTCAGTGTCCAGCTGCACCATCCCACACTGAGTCTAATGAGTGAATGGACTGAAGGAATGGATGGCTAGAATTGGAAGACCCCAGTAACAGTTTCAAAAGGAACTCAGTTCTCCCCTCTGCCCCTTTACAATTTATTTGTTCAACCCTAGTACACATGTAGTTTCAGAATTACTAACATTTAGGCCTCTACCAAAATACAGTGCTTATATGTGTACACTGCTTGTTTTGTCTTTAATCTTACAGTATCTAGTCAGAACACTCTTCTCCAAGGTTACTGAGGAGATCAGAGCTTTGCATTGAGGAAAGTGAGGGGCAGAGAGAGAAGAGTCGGAAGGACATCATTAGTGAGGGGGGCACATGTGCAGTTAGCAGGAGTGGCTTGTAGGGTCTGCGAGCAGGAAAAGAGTTGAGGTTGGTGGGTTAGCTAGTGAGGGAGGAGCCAGCTGTAGGATCCAGTGTTAACAGCTACTGTCAATGGTACTACTTGGGCCACTTGAAATACAGTGAAACTCTGCTTAAGGAAGTTTACTCTAGGCTGTGTATCCAAACTGACTTGGCCTGGCAACAGTCAGACCAGCTACCTCGAGAAAGACTTGCTTGTTGTCAGGTGTAGAGGATCTGGGAACCTTGGCAGTAGAAATGGAAAATAGAAATGATAGCATGGTTTTGTAAAGAATTTTGCAATTCATGAAACACTCTCACACATCTTAGTTAATTTCTTCACTGTTATCTTTTTTTAAAAAATGTTTATTTTTTAGTTGTAATTGGACACAATACCTTTGTTTTATTTATTTGTTTTTTTTTAATGTGGTGCTGAGGATCGAACACAGGGACTCTCCCGCGCTAGGTGAGCGCTCTACCATTGAGCCAGAACCCCAGCCCACCTTCACTGTAATCTTAATATGTAGTAAGTAGGTAAATAAATATTTGTTAAATGAATGAGTATATGATTTAATAGACCTCAGAGCATCTCTTTTCTTCCATTATACAGATTGGGGCTCTTAGAGGTTAATTTAGAGCTAATCAGTGACAAAAACAGACGTAGGACTTATGTTTGCGGACCAGGGTTCTTTGCCCTGTACCACATAACTTTCTGGAAAATAAGGACAGAACCACAGACATAGTAAAAGAATAAGTTAGACTGCTCAGTTTTGGATAGGATACAAGAGGTGAAGGGAGGCTTCGCGAGTCTCCAGGTGTGTGTTTGTATGTGTGTGTGTGTGTGTGTGTGTGCGTGTGTGCGCGCGCGCGGCACAGCTAGAGAAAGAGAAAGAAGCAACTTTGATTTAATATACAAGTATTTGTAAAATTATCACCACAATTAAGATAATTAATTACCCAGTACCCTATGAATTTCTTCCTGCCCTACATTCCCAGTATCCAGACAAGTATGGATTTATCTTCTATCACCATAAATTAGTTTGTGTTTTTTTAGAATTTTATATAATTGGAATCATCCCGTATGTACTGTTTTTGTCTAGTTTTTTCTTTCAGCATAATTATTTTGATACTCAGCCATGTTTTTTGTGTATCAGTAGTTTATTACTTTTTAGTGCTGAGTAGTTGTCCATTATATGACCATATTACAGTTTCTTTCTCTTTTGTCATTGTAGACATAATCTCTCTCTCTCTCTCTCTCTCTCTCTCTCTCTCTCTCTCTCTCTCTCTCTCTCTCTCTCTCTCACTCACGC